TAGCCAGACAGCTCGGGCTTTATCAGTCCAAAACTGGCATTGTGTGTGTATGTGTGTGTATGTGTGTGTATGTGTGTGTATGTGTGTGTATGTGTGTTAGTCATGAGGGAAAATGTAATTAGGCTGAGGGGGACATGAGATTAAAATCAGCTCTTTTGTCCCGGTTTCTTTTGGTCTCCTGGTGCTGAAACGTCTGGTATAACATTCGAAAGCTAGACTTTATTCTAATGAAGGTTACTCTCACTGCAGTCCTTCAGAAAGATAGAGATCAATACAAATATTTTATGTGCCTTGACATGAATCCATATCCATAAGTTGTGAATGTGATAGGACTGAGCCTTTAAAGTTCCTTAATGAGTTTGAAAGGGTGTATGAGTCATCACTCCTTTTTTCCCTCCACACTAAAAACTTGGTCTTTAATATGGCATGAATGTGGCACCTTTTCAGGACATTTTATGAAGGGTTATATGTTGTTCTAAATGTTCCAAACCAGAAATACTGACATATATTTACCCAAACCCACTGATTCCTTCAGTTGTTTGCATTTGTATTTATACACTGCAACTGTGACAAAGCTGAAAACAAGATAGCTCCACTGAATATCAGACAAGCAGGTCAGCGGAGGATAGCCTAATTAAGCTGACATCAAACACAGCAACGAGAGGGATTTATGAATGAAACTGCGCACACTGATCCATAGACACGATTTGACAGGCTGCCAAAAATAGAGACCACAGTGCGCGCTGGCTGAAGACGAAAGTGCTCTCTCTCTCTCTCTCTCTCCACACACACACACACACACACACACACACACACTCCCCTTCTGCAGTCCCTCTGTCATCCCCCGCCCTTCTCAGGCTTTGTCGGAGTCCGTATGTGAGTCATCGGTGGACTTTAACCGTCTCTGTCCCTCAGTGCCGCAGCAGACACACAACAGCAGTCAATGACAACAGCCGTTCAACAGTCACTACTATGAGCCTCAGTGTCAGTCAGTGAAGAAACAATAAATCAGACAAAAATAAATCAGTTATGGAGAGTCCATCAGCTATTTAACACCATTCACGCAAAGAAAGACAATTAAAAGGTGAATCAATTAGTTTAAGCTGCTTTATTTCCACCACTCTCAAGCATTTGTCGACTTATCGACAAAACGCCCGTCACGTCTTCTTAATAAAGAAGCTTATAAATCCCGTGAAGGTTCACGTTCTTGAACACATCAGCCAGTCAATGGCCCAATAGCCCCGATAACAATTAGAAACTGCGACAAAACGCCGTTACGCAGCCGCTGAGTCGCACTGGGTCAAAGCCAGCTCCAGTTCATATGCAAAGAGAGGAGCACATTTTTGTTTGGCTGACTCAAAATTAACTGCGCGCGCGAGTTTGAGTGTGCGTGTTTGTGTGGCGTACATGTGCGCGCGCGCGCGTGTGTTGCGTATCTCCTCGCTCTCTGACGCACGAGTCAGGTGGTTGCTCTAATAGCACGAGGAGCTGTCCGCGGTGCTGAAACCAGACTCACACCGCGAGACAGAGAGATGCTCAGTTCACTCACGAGCCTGGAGAGAAACTAATTACACAAGGTAAGACTCGTTCTTCACTGCATGTCCCACACTGCACCTCCCTGACTGTGTTACCTAGTTACCTAACGCTGCTCGCTGTCAGTGTAGAGCTTTTACTTTACTTCAACCAGCTGCTGTTACGGCAGCTGGTTGCCAACCTGATGCACCGCCACATACGCCGAGGCGAGGAGGTTGTTTGCCCGCAGTTTCTTTGTTCTCATTTCGCGCCACATTGATTCCGAACCGCTCGTTAAGTGCTACTTTTCTGTCACGGGTTAAAAAATACAAGCAAAGTAAGCAAAGTTCAGCGATTCAAATGAAGGCTGTAAAATTGAAGGGAAAAGTAAACATCCAGATGAGAGCAGATCATTGCACCGTCGCTTGTGGTCTGTTAGGCAGGTTTTTTTTTTCTTGTTTTGCCTCCTGTTTTGGGGGGAAAAGTCTCAAAATATATCAACTTCACATTCAGTTTGCACGCATTTGCACATTTTACCTTAAAAAAAAAAAAAAAAAAAATATTTCCATATATTTCTCGCGCCTGTTTAATAAAGCCCGCAGGCAGAAGGGCAATCTATTTCAACAGAACAACGTGCAATTAGGGTTAAAGCATGGCAAACATTAATAATTGGGTTTAGAGGTTTTCTGCGGTTAAAGGAGAGGGAACATCAGCCTTACCGGGTTACCTTGACAACGGGGGCCGTGACTCACAGAGAGCAGCAATTTGACGACTAATGAGATTTGCACGGGAGCTGCATGCCGCTGCTGTTACTGCTGCTGGCAAACAGGCGGCAGGATTCCAGTGTGATCCGAAAATACCAGCAACAGGCAGCGAAATGGAGGAGCGATACAAACACTCACAGACGAGAGCCAATCATTTACCGCTTTAATAAATAAATAACATAATAATAAATAAGAGATTGCCCCCCCCAGTTGCTTCTCAGTATTCACTTTTCTTTGCTGCGTCTCTCATTTTAGCTTTAATGCAAACTGTAAAAGAATACAGAATAAAATAATATTTGAATTAAAACAACGTAAAAGGCATAAAAAAGTGGAACTAAATCAGAATAAAGTCATTGTCACTGAAGGAGGTTTATTTTCATTGAACTGGATTTTGTTAGGCAGTTTAGACATTCCATACAAACACTGATAGGATAAACGGAGGCAGCCTATTTGACCTAGTTTTCACCAGAGCAAAAGTCATGGACGAGATTTTAAACATGACCTCCTGCCTTTAAATCTATTCAGACGTCTGTGTGCTCTGTGACGTTACCATCAGAGCAGACATTTAAAGTGACGATAAGAGCCACAGACATCTAAGAAATGCCAGAGCAGCAACCGTTGCGAACCTGTTAGCTCAATGTGTAAAGGTCAGAGCTGACATTTGCCTCTTTGTCTTCCCTCTGCAGGCGTCACCATGCCGTCACTCCCCCAGACCTTCACCACAGGCAAACCTTTCTTCATCTGCTTTGCCAACCTCCTCTTAATCCTCCTCTTCCTCACCTCCTCTGGCATTCACGGGGCTTCTCTCAGAGAGCACAGACTGCGAGGGAGCGAGTCAGACCCCCCGAGAGGAAATGTCCGCCAGAGCCCTAATGCCGACATGCTCAAAGCTTTGGAGTACATCGAGAGCCTCCGTCAAAGAACCGGCATGGACCCCCAGCAGCATGCCCCCCCCGCCACAGGTCACGATCCCCGCCACATGGATGACGCTGAGAAGTTGCGTGCCATGCTGAGGCTGGCTTCTAACCCTACGCAGAACAAATATGAGGACGAGGAAGAGGAGGAAGAGGAGAAGGGACGGGAAGATAAGAGCGAAGAGCTGCTCCAGGCTGTGCTCAGCACCCTCCAGCAAACGGAAAAGGCCGCCAAGCCGCCGTCCCTTCGCCCCGGCGTCGAAGGAGCAGGCGGGAAGGACAGCGCGTACCCCAGGGTGCAGCAGAAGCAACATAGCATCAGGCCTCACAAGAAGCTGCCGCTGATGTTTGAGGACGAGGAAGAGGGCGAGGGGGACGAGGAAGAGGATGAGGAAAGGCCAGATCACGAGAGCCCCTTCAAACGCACCAACGAGAACGTGGAGGAGAAGTACACGCCTCAGAACCTGGCCACGCTGCAGTCCGTGTTCGACGAACTGGACAAGCTCACTAGTGTGAAGCCCATGCACAAGCGCCAGGATGAGGAGGATGACATCGAGGATGGTGATGAGGAAGAGGATGATGATATGTTCAATGTGAGGAATGTGGCCTACGATGGCGGGGATCTTGCAGACTGGGGTCCGCTACAAGAACAGGAAGATGAAGAGGAGGAAGAGGAGGAGAGGGACAACAAGCATGAGGCCAACCGAGGACTCGATTATGTTGACGACGATGATGAAGAAGCCGATGAGGACGATGAGGATGAAGATGATGAAAGCTACCCAGTCAAGAGGTCAAATGAGCCAGATGATGTTGCCAACCTGGTGGACTACTACCTTCTGAAAGTGCTGGAGAAAACAAAGGAAGAGGAGCAGAAACGGGAGATAGAGGAAGAGGAGAAAGAGAGGGCTGAGAGGAGAGTGGCTCAGACGCAGTACAGAGATACCATAGATCCACAGGCAATCTACCAGCTCATTCAGATCTCCCAGAAATACCAGATCCCACCCGAAGACCTGGTGGACATGCTCAAAACCGGAGAAACGACGAGTCAAGACAAGTCGCGAAAGAGCAACGAATTAGCCCGAGCAGAAAACAGGCTCCCTCAGAAATCCTCAAAGAAGACGCACAAGATTCCCGAAGCCAAATTTTACAACAGACGCTTCCCTGACAGACAGAAGACCCCAGAAGAGCTGAGGACAGAAGAGATACTGAACATCCTGGGGCTGGGAGGCGGGGAGGATCCAGCTCCCGTCAGGAAGCAGAAGCAGTACAAAAGCTCTCCGTCACGACTTCACACTCCACAGCCTGCGGGGCGTTCTGGGGGAATCCACTCCCACGCAGCGGCGCCTTCCCAGCACATTAAAGGACGACTATGACGACACCGTGGACGAGGACGAGCTGGCGGCATACCTAGCAGCTCAGATGCTGGCACAGTACCCGAACCCCGGGTACGGCAGCGGCAACAAGGCGAGCCAAAAGCGGGACGAAGTTGGACAGGGCACAGCGGGCTCTTTTGAGCAGGCGATACAGGATTACTTTGATCAAATGGACTCCGATAAAAGCCCGAATGAAAAGAGACAGTCTGAGGATGACACGCAGATGCAAGGCTTTGACAGTGAGGCGTTGATGAAATTGTTGAGCTACCTGAACCCAGAAACTGAAGAAAGTGATGCTGATGCCAAACCTGCCCCAGGAATATAAATTAGGCTGTAGATACATATACTATATATATATATATATATATAGCCTATATTGTTTTTGTGGAGGGAGAGGGTGAAAATAAAGTATTTTAAGAATAAAACATGCAGTCAACTTTAGTTATTCTGTAGGTTTACAAAAGTTCATATTTATTAGCAGACATATGAGTGTTCAGACATTCATTTGATGCTTTTTTTTTAAAACATGAGTTTGATGCTCAACACTTAACAACCAGTACATGTGACTCACCAGCCTTGCATTTCAACACACAGACACACACACAGCCAGAATCAGTGTTGGACCCCCCTAGATTCACTTGTGTTTTTTTGGTAACTCTTTCTTAAATGTGGTCATATGTGACATACCTGAGGTTAATAAAGCATTGACTTTATTTTTTCCTTACGTGTAGTGTTTCTTCATTTACTCACCATCACACAGTGTATCAGTTTAAATTTGTCTTGCCTCACATGTATTACTACTGAGATTACAAAAACATATTCAAATATGAACAAAAATGGTTTCGATAAACTGGGAAAAAGACTCTCTTCAGTCACATCTCCTGTCATAAAACCCTGAGATTAATAAATATGAGGCGTTAAAGGCACTTACAGACTCAAACATAATTACAATTAATAAAACTTAAGATGAAAAAGAAAAATCACCAGGACTGTAGGACCGGTGAGTCATTTACAGTCACTCAATAAAAATGTTGCGGACTAATAAACCTTTTGCTTCAAGTCTTGAAATGTGAAACACCCTCGTCTTCTCTCGGCTCAGTAGGCGGGTTTGCTCATGTATTCCTCCATCGTCTATAAGTCGATAAGAGCAGAGGCATAAGAACACATTTCACATGAGTGAAGAGGAAAACCTATGTCCACTAAATGTCTGCTCAAGCTTAAAGTACCTCTTGGAGAGTGTCAGCCTCCTCTATAGACACTCCCACAGCTACTTTGGACGTTTCTTGAATTTCCCCTCCCATCAGAAATTCGTCCAGGATGAAGTAAGCCTTCTCAAAGTTGAAAATGATGTCCAGCTCACAGACCTGAAACAGAATATATGGACCAACCATTAGACTAGAGATAAATCACACTTCCTTGATCAGTGGTATAGAGGGTAATAATTCCACCCATGAGAGAGGATAAACAACTTTTTGCTGCACTAGTATAGATGACCATGCTCTAACTGAATATCATAAAGACTACAGAAACGATCTTTGTGATAATTAAACACCATCCGTTTTCTATCTGTTCCTTCCACACTTCACTTTCATTGTTTGTGGTTTTGTAAATAAAGAGGCGTGGCTCTTGCCTTGCTTTGTGAATCAAAACAAGCTGGACATGAAGTGGTTCTGGAGTAGAGGCACCTTACGGACACCAGAGGGAGTCAGACTGGTAAAGAGCACAATGACATATAAATGTCAGGGGGAGAGGAAAGGGATCTTGGGATGTTCTCACAGCTGTCACAGATATTCAATAAAGGGAAATATTAATGCTACAGTCATATTTTAGACAGCATGTGCTTCTTTGTGGCAGCAGCGTGAGGTTGGACCCTTTCTTTCTAGCAACGAATCTCAGCAGCCAGGTCTCAGAAGAGTGCAGGCTGTTGTAGCAGCAGATTAATGCCCATGGTTTTAGAAGGAGGTGTGCAACAATCACACAAAGCACGTGTGATGTTAGCGTGTCACATGCAGTGCTTTTGTACGTATTTACTGCCATGTGGTGTATATTTATGTCTGTGTTGCAACAGCATGACAATAGAATGTGATTTGATCTGTAGAGTTAACAGCAATGCTTGAGTGACAACAACTGTATTGTGGTATACGATTATATACTGTCAATGGTTATACCACATACTACAACAAAACCTATCACAGTCAATGACAAACTGAACGGCCAACCTTTAGAATGACAAAAAAACCACAAGCACTCAGTTATAGATTTTAACTAAATTAAATCAAGCAACAAGTTAGCCTGTGGCTAAATGAATACTGTACACTTTACGTCAAGTTAATTCAGTCGGCAGTATATAAACATTTAATAAAAGCTTTATAACACACTATAATGTCGTTTTTAACATTTGTTGTATTAACAGTAACACTTTATATCAATGTACACATATTCACCATTAACTAGTTCCTTATCAGCATACATATTAGTAGCATATTGGCTCTTTATTAGTCACTATATAGCACTTATTATGCTATGGAACAATTCGGGGTTAGAAAGACTTAATTTAGAGTTATTTGGATGCTATTAACACTTGTAGTTCTGTGTTTATTTAAATAAGAACAGATCATATTCATTAAGTGTTATTAAAAGAGAATGAGCATTCTTGTGGTTCTACCACCTCAAAAGGCCCATACTGAGCAAAGCACATTAACATTGCAATTTTGGATGAAATGATGTTGACAGCTGCCTCACTCTGACAGGACAAATTTAACATTCTTATGCTACACGAAAGGTTTGGTGACCTCACATGAATCCAGACATCGCTCTGAACAGAGGTTGAACTAGCCAGAATAACCGAAAGCATCCTGTTTGTGGGAGCAATGACAACTCATAAACACAGATGACGTTTAAGTGAACTCCCACAGTGAATTCTGCTTGGGCCATGACTTGCAGCTCTACTCACGTTGCCAAAGTATTTATCCAACAACTCGACATATCTGTGCAGCACTTCGAGGCTCAGCAGCTCATTGTCGCGGTCGTCCAGACCAGTGCAGAAATACAAACTGGCATACCTGCCAGACAGAGCGCAAATGTTACAATCCTGGATATATGGAAGTCCTTGGATTAAACCTATTTCAAAGAAAAGAGAAACAACAGGCATATTTTATTGCCTTTATTTGATAGTGACAGCTGAAGAGTGACAGCAAAGGGGAAAGAGAGACGGGATGACACAGGTCTCTCTAAAAGCTTCATAAAAGGTGTGATGTATTTCACTTATTTTAGTCTAATTCGTCCTTGCAGTGGATCACATTATACTGTGAGGTGTTCCTGTGACTGTGTCTACTCCTATTCACTCTACCCCTCTTCCATACTGCAGTGAAGGAGAGGAAAAACCATGAGAAGATAAGCACTGTGTTGCACCATCACCATTATGGTCCCATCAGTGACCTGGGTCATGCTCTGTGGGTTTTCCCCTTTACTCTGTCCAGGTCTTGTTAACCCATTGTTGGGAATGGGTGTGTGTTTTGTTATCTGTGTGTATTTTGAAGCATTAGCAAATAAAGACACACACGTTGAGCTTAAACAGAGTGAGAGGTGGTTTCTGCTCAACAGCCGAGTCTGTACCTGCCAGAAAACCACTCCTATGACAAAACACAGGAGCAATATCATGTAATTGTAACACAAATGAAAAAGCAGCTGTGTCTATTGTCGGTACCTCTTGTAAACGATCTTGAGGTCTCTCCATTGGAGGAAGTTGCAGGAACGTGGTGTACGGGCCAACACTAACATCATCATGTCCCGGATCACCTTCTTCTTCTCCCGGTCCGTAATTGGTGTGAACCATTTCTGCAGCCGCAGTTTCCCCTGCCGGCTGAACAGCAACAGGAAGCGCATCTGGAGGAGGCAGAAAGTGGGGAACGAGAGCAGAAAACACTTCTGAAAAGTGTTTTCAGAATTGTTGTCTTGCAGTGTCAAGCACAGCTGCAGAGAAGGAGGAACATGACCAAACAGGAGGAACATCTTGTGTTAGGAGGGTTAAAGACAAATAACTAAAAATGTGGTCAATGTGTAGCTTGTCAGCAGAGCAAACCAAACACATGCAGTGAAGCAATCTCACACACACACACACACACACACACACACACACACACACACACACACACACACACAGTGTAATAATGCCCCCACCTACAGCCTGCAACCAAAACCAAACAACCACACAGCAATTAGGTTTCACAACTAGAAATGTGAATGCGGGTCAGCTGGGAAACATAACACAACCGTATATCACCTTTGAGTTCAATATCACAGCAAATACAATGTGTGTGTTGTGCAAGGGCAATTAATGAGAGCTCTTTGCCCTGTGCAGCACCGCTTCTGCCTGCAACAAGATAAAGCAGGACATGTGGAGGAAGGAGGAAGTGCAACTGTAACACACCTGTCTGCTGAACAAAGACGAAGAAGGTTTCAAAGGTTCAGTTTTTGGGTGTGACTTTGTGATTTGTTTAATTCCTCTTAATTATATCGTTTAAATCATTAAAATCCCATTTAAACTTCTGCAAACTGAACCAACATGTGGAGATTTGCATTCATTTGCCTCTCAGACAGGACATGCTTGTTACAAAAACTGATCTTTTTCCAATCTTTTCACTTTGAGCTCATTTTACGATGCAACGGGATCAATCTGACAGAAGGAAGATCACTACAGAATCAAACACATGACATCTGATCAAGGAAGAACCAAACTGACTTACAGTAAGAAAGAAGTCGTTTGAGACACTTAAACACTGACTTGGGCGTTTATTGCAGTGTGACGCCTCTTATTGCCAACAGGTGAATGAATCAAAACTATAGCAACGAGCCCGGATACTCACCATTTTGTCAGAGCAGTCCGACAGAAGTCCTTCGGGCTTGTGATAAACCCTCTCCCAGAATCCTAGAGTCCTATCCTACTGTGTCTTGAGCGTTTTCAGATGCGGCGACATTGTTAATCTTCCCAGAAATCTCAGCGCTCTCACCTTCTCCAGTCGGAGCCGCGCCCCGCTGCGCTCCAGCTGCTGATTGGCTGCCGAGGAGCCACCGGGCAAAGCTGCACACACACACACACACAGGTGAATCAGTGCAGTCAGTGTGTGAGGAGTGTAACACTGTTCAGGCTGCAGATATATATATATATATTTTTAGTCAGAAACTTCACACGTTTTGGTTCCATTAAGTTCATTTGTGTCCGATTTCGGTACATTTGTGTTTTTACAAAATGTAAGTTACAAAGTGGAGGTACTGAGTCCAAATTATGAGATTAAAAGCCTAAATGTGGAGTTACTACATTTAAATTATAAAATAATAACATTTGGTATCCAACATTCAACCTTAATATGGAGAATCTGTTATATTTCTGTTGTGTTATCTCCACTGTACCATCACTATCCATCCTATCGTTTCTCATATTGTTTGTGTATATTTTTGTTATCTTCAATACTATTAAGTCTGTATTGACTTTTCCTATATATATATATATATATATATATATATATATATATATATTATATTTATATTTATATATCAGTGTGTTATTTTTAACTAAACACTGCTAGCTTAACTAACTAGCTAGCTGGAGCGAGCAGGTTCATTAACATGGAGGTTCTGCTTCATTGTCTCTGTCAGGTATGTTTTATTGCGAATGAGTTCATAGTTCATACCGTGTTTTACTACAAGCCTCTTTGTAGCTACTATCCACCTGAGGGAGAAGTCACATTCACCTAGTAATAAAGTGCACATAGAGTCGGAATAACGTTATCAAACAGGAGGAATGTTACAACATGGCCACCACAACAGTACGTTTATGTTCAATGTGAAGTGAAGGCAGCTGCTGTGTCCCTGCGTCCTGCCGCTGGGGGGCCGGTGGTGGAGGAGTTGTCGCCCACTGATGTTAATGCAGTGGAGGAGCTACACGTGGTTCTGGTCCAGGCTAAAAGCGGAGGAGAGAGCTCAGCGCAGCGAGAGGCTTCCAGAGCAGCACCATGTCTCTGTACCGCAACTCCGCCTGGTTCCTGAAGGGAATGACCGAGTTCACCAGGTAAGATACCCTGCCCCGTCTCTGCTGACTGACACATCACTGTAGTGTTTGAGGAGCTGGAGTCAGTGTGTCACCTTCTGTGTGCATCCTCACCCCATTGTGTGGGTGCTTAAATTATTAAACTGAATTATTTAAACTAAGTCATTGGATGCTCTTTTCCTTGTGATTTTATTGTAATGTTATTGTATTTCTGATTCTAAACATGGCAGGGCACTGTGAGTTAACTGTTACCATATTTAACTTATGCAGGCACCTTTCTAACACTAACTAACAACATCATCTTTATACTGTAACTGCCAATATGGGCCTGAAATGTTCATGTGATAATAATTTCCTTCTTGTGAAAAATTGTATAGGACTACGTTATTGTGCATTATACATGTCTCTATATTATTATTTTATTTCTAAACTGAGTTTCTGTTTATTTGAAATTTAAATGTATATTCCAGTATGATTGTCCTTAGGAAAAGATCCTCAGGGATGGAATGGGTCACTGTGCTTACTGTCTGTAATAGAGTAGGATGTTATTCAGTGTAATCAGGTAACCAGGGCTCTCAGGCCCTTTTTTTAAAAGACGATATATATATATAAATATATACTGTATACATTTTTCAAAATTTTAACAAACTAGTGAAAGAACGTCTAGTGAAAGTTAATACCATATGAGGTAGAGTTAAAACATGTAGTCAGTTAATCAATTAGTCAAGCAACAGAAATCAAATCGACAACTGTCTGTTCATAATTGATCAATAGTTTGAGACTTTCTTCAAGCAGAAATACGAAATATTTGCTGTTTCTCAGTTTTATATGATTGTAAACTGAATATATTTGTGGTTTTGGACTGCTGGCTGAACAAAACGAGACATCCAAGGATGTTACTTGGAGCTCTGGGAAATTGCAATCACTATTTTATGACTTTTAACAGACCAACTGATTAATCAGTTAATCAAGAAATTAATCACCAGATTAATCTTTAATGAAATTTGAAGTAATATCTACCTAAAATCTATAGATTGTATGAGGTTATATGAGGTTGGGTCAGGTCAAAGTTTATGTAAGGGATAAGATGTAGAACCTCTGGTATTGGTGAAGATGCAGCTGGTGTTTGGTCCTACTGTTATTGGCGATCACTGACTGGAGGTTTCAGTTTACTGACTTTTTGATTTGCCACTGCATCACTGAACTGCAGTGCTCCTTTGAAATAACTGATTTATGAATAGAGCGAAGTTTACAGTGACTCAGCAGTGGCCATCTGAGACCATAAGTCACTTGTTCCACTACAACAGGGCTCTAAATGCCTTATCAGTCCTATCTGATCTATTGCGGCCCTAAAGCGCCTTTCCTCATCACTATACAGCAAGCCAAGTTGTGTGAAGAGGTGCTTTTGTGATTGTTTCCCCGCTTCCCTTTGTTCTGTGTTATCTTTTCTCCCAGAGAGCTGCCCGGCAACCCGCTCTGACCCTGCACTAATAGCTCTCTGCATGACACCATGGAACAGAGCGGGCATTTAGCCTCAGTATTACCCCCCTCCCTGTCCCCTTTATCCCCCCCCTTCAGCCGCCCTCAACAATGGCATCGTGGACAATCGGGGGCATTGAAGTCTTTGGTGCCACACACGCTCACGCTCACACATACACACCCCAATCCTGTTGTCATCGTCGGTAGTCTCACCCCAAACCCCTTCACATCAGAGATGACGCCAGGCACACTCTCGTCTTCATTGTATCGGTACAGTAAAGCTGTGAAGAGGCGTACAGTGACCCAGCTGACCCCAAACACTGACCTGAGCACACATACACTAAAAAGTCCATCCCTATCCCGAGGCATAGATACACAGTGGGTGCATGGATACATTAAATATGTGCAGTTAAACAGGCTGCTAACATGAGTATAATGCAGTATGTCTGTGTCCTGCAGGAATGCCTTCCTGTCAGCGTCCAAGAGGTTCGTTGAGAAGGACCTGGAGGTGTCCATGGCTGGACGCGCCTTCATGATTACAGGAGCCAACAGTGGCATCGGGAAAGCCACTGCCATGGCCATCGCTAAGAAGGGTACCAATCCTACTGGATGTTTGTCAGCACAACACGTGTACAGTGACTGATACTAATACACTGCAAAAAGTAATTATTAGGAGGAGTAATTGTAGTTGTGATAGTGAGTCATGACATTTTCCCATTTTGGGTCATACAAACCATCAACTCTCAATCAATCAAAAAGCTCCCACTGTGCAATACAGAAGGCCATGTAGTGATGGCCAACCTCTCATGATAAAGCCCAGACCCCCACCAAAGGGAAACATTATTAAAATGTCATAATGTTTAGTGGAAATCAAAAAGAGTGACAATAAATTGGAGCATAGCATAAATGTAGAGAGTGTACAGAGTGTTCTCTGGCTGATATAGATATTATCACTGGTCCTCACAGCCGAGGCAGCTGTAGGGTCTGTGTGTCCTCCGGTCTTACAAAACACTATAAAAACAACAGTCTGTGAACCAGGATTTGATATTTACAACCTTTCATTGACATACCTCAGAAAAATACTTTCCAGTCACAGTCTCAGATGATCTTTTCAGTTTAGGGCTTTCATTACTACAGTATATCCCCAGCTGTCGTCAAGCCTTCATTAAAGCTTACATATTGTACTTTAAGTTACCATTTTGGAACTGCAGCTTTACAGTTCATATGAGGTTTGATGCATCCCACAAAGCTGACAATAAATCCAACACTCTTCTTTTCCTCTTGAATGTGTTCAGATGCTGTTTTCCTCAGCTGGTAAAGAATTATGTTTATTCCATCTTCCGTCGCAGGTGGAACGGTCCACATGGTGTGCAGGAACAAGGACAAAGCCGAGGAGGCGAGGGCTGACATCGTCAAGGAGACGGGAAATAAAGTACAGTATTACTCGCTTCACAACAGATGTTTTTAAAAACACGGGACAGATGTGACATTATTTATTATTCTACATGGCTGGTGTCAATACAGGAGGTCTATGTCCACATCCTGGACCTGTCTGAGACCAAGAAGGTCTGGGAGTTTGCTGAGGGCTTCAAAAGGAAGTACAAGGCCCTCAATGTGCTGGTGAGTCACATGAGTTACTTATTTTCATATCCCATTTGGAAATATAGGGCAAGTTATTACCTCAATTTGACCGTCAGTATTGACTTTACATACTGTGCAAAATACTTTTGGATCAGTATAAGTCAGACTGTCTCGTGTGTTGTAATGTGTGCAGATCAATAACGCAGGCTCCATCATGAGTCAGAGGGACGTGAACACTGAGGGGCTTGAGAAGAGCTTCGCCACCAACGTTCTTGGTGAGTCAACTCTCAGGGGCGAGGTGACAAGAAAACGTTGACAGACGGGAAAACGGGTTGTGAACAGTTTTTCTTTGCTATTGTCCACTAGGGGTTTACATTCTCACCAAGAGTCTCATTCCCTTGCTGGAGAAGAGCGCAGATCCCAGAGTGGTGAGTCCTCATGAGTGTCTGTTTCTCATCATCAGAATCTCTACTGTCTGTTTGTTTTACCTCACAGAACTTAGAGATAGTTCTCAAAACTTTTTTTAGTTCTCTAAACTAGACTTATATTTCTGCACTGATCAACGTTATCCATCATTTTAATGAACACTTAATAGCTTTGGACTACTGGGTTGGGGCTGTTTAATGGTTCATTCCTGGTCACGCCAATGAGACGTCCTCAGAAATCATCCTGAAAACTAGTAAAGAAGAACATTTCATTCATGGGTCAAAGGCTGCAGAAAAGATCCAGTGTATTTATTACAGGGTTTGCTTTTTAAGGGTAAAATTCCAAACCAAACATTTCCAGACTCTTTAAGCCTTTATCGCCACATCTAAATTGTTACTATAAATGCAATTGTGAATAGTTTAATAATACCCACAGCAACCAATGTGAATTGTCACTTTATTTTACCAGCTGTTCATATTAACTTTATTTAATGCTTGCTAATTTCCAGAGTAAAGGATCAACAGCGGACTTATCTAGCTATTTCAGGGAGTATATTCAAATTCAAGCATTACCCTAATCTTGAAAACATAAAATGAATTCATTAAAAATAATAATTTTCCAAATGTTGTATTATTATTTCAGTGTAAAAATGACACTGTAGCGGTGGGAAGTTTTTAGGTAATGTCATGTAAAGTAAAAATAGTAATACCACAATGCAAAATGTGTTTTAAAAGCTCTTTTGACCTTCATGATGTTTCCCTCTGTCCATGTTCAGATCACAGTGTCATCAGGGGGGATGTTGGTGCAGAAGCTCAGGACAGGAAACCTGCAGTCTGAGAGAGGCCGTTATGACGGCACCATGGTGTACGCCCAGCACAAAGTAAGACCTGAGCTCGAAACCTGCTCATCTTCGACTGATGGACAGGCTTTTCTGAGATAATTCGGAAACAGAAACAGACACATATAATGTGTCTTCATGTCAAATTTGTATAATAGAATAATGTGATTATTGTATCAGTAAGTGTATGCTACATTAACAAACTACAGCGCAGATATTGCTGTGTAGATCATTCATAATTCAGATCATTTATTGATCGTATACTGAAATATTTAGTTTATCTTTGATATATATAGGGCAGGCTTTTGGATTATATACTGACTGTAGAATTCATTAGTGCAACAATAAACCTCAGTTGAATGGTGTGAATGGCGCTGACACATTTTAGATCGAATTTCATAGAAATCTGCATGAAAGCTTTTATCCTGCTAGAATCTTTAGGGTGAAATTTGCCAAAATGAAAGATACTGCATGTTACATATGAAGCTTTGGAAGGAAGTTTTGGTCCATAAACATCACTTTAAGTATGTGCCTTTCCATGTTCCATATTAATTTAGTATGATATCATAGAGAACTGTGCCTCAAGTCTGTGTCTGTTTCGTGTGTTTTACCTGCTTATAGTCCACCCCTTCAGACATCCTCACAGTGCAGAATCTCTCGTGTGTGTGTGTGTGTGTGTGTGTGTGTGTGTGTGTTCCAGAGGCAGCAGGTGGTGATGACAGAGCAGCTGGCAAAGACGCACACTAACATCCACTTCTCCGTCATGCATCCTGGCTGGGTCGACACTCCAGGTAGGGCCTGCTCACACGCACGCACAACTGAGAATTAACAGCTACCAAAAATGTGGACAAGTTGAATGAAATCATCCTCTTTTCAAACAAACATCAGCCCTTGGTGCTTCCTGACACTTATTCTGGTTTATCTCTCTCCTCTATCTCTGTCTGTCTGTCTCAGCGGTGGCCAATGCCATGCCAGACTTCCACAGCTCCATGAAGGACAGTCTGCGGACCCCGGAGCAGGGCGCCGACACCGTGGTTTGGCTGGCTGTCTCTGAAGCTGCCACCACAAACCCCAGCGGACGTTTCTACCAGGGTATGTTGCTGAACTAAAGCAATCTTTGTCACTTTCATTTACCTGCCCATCATTTATGAGGGATTGTGTAAAAAAAATATACCCCAATATTACCCCAAGAAAGGAAGAATAGAAAAGAAGAGAACGCTTTTGGCTGAATTATGTGTTTGTCAGTTGTGGGTCGGTAGGGGTGTGTGTGTGTGTGTGTGTGTGTGTGTGGCTGTGTGTGTGAGACGGGTTGGCCTGTGTCCATTGCAGCTGGAGTGGGCTGCTTTTGGTGCCAGATACTGCCAGAGAGTACAGTGCCTCTATGAGCACACACTCACAAATGCACTTCGGTGTACACGCACACACACACACATACACATACAAACACACACACACACACACACACACACACACACACACAAAGACCCCAGTGGCCTTTAAGAAGGAGGCTGCAAACTAATATGAAATGCTCACTTCAACAGGGACACAATAAGGCTGCATTCAGCTTTTAATGTGATGTGTTATGAGGCCGTTATGTCTGGTGTCCTGGTTTCTCAGCAGGTCCGTCCACCTTGCTGCTTTCAGTATGTTAATGTAATACTCGTATGAAGTGATAGTGACATGGAGACGACATGCTTGATTAGCAGAAGACATCAAATTTGTTTGGATTCTGTTGCAGGATGAGTCCACATATTTAAGTGTCTCCCTAAATACCAGTCAAGCTGTCTGTTTGTCTCATGTCAACACCCGCTCAGCCAAACTGCTCGAGGTGCTAAAACAGTGACATATATTTCATTTCGGCAATCCCATGTAAGCTGAAAAATCAGGAATTCAATCTTGTACAAGGAGGTTCAGTGTTGTATGGTCATGTATTACAAGCAAATTGAAGGCAACTGCTGACACCCTTGAATCACTGTGAGTGGCTATTTATGGAAATGTCATACTCTTAAAAATAAAGTGAAAAATAAAAGCAGCAAGGAAGCCCACCATCTGATAACCGGCAAGTGTCAATCTTTAGCATAAACAGAAATAAACTAGTCATTTTTCATTGGTTAATCCATCTAATTTATTTAATTATATCATTAGAGATGATTGTTATATACTGCTGAGAAGTACTTAAAAGAATTATATAGCAGTAGATCATTCTGGGCCATATCTTCCCTGCTGGTTTTCAGTTATCCTTTAATACTTTGGCCAGTGTGATTGTGAAACAGGTATTAATATTATATTAATCTATTGCAGTTTATGTGATATTAAAAGGTCTTTAAAGTCTTGGTGAACCCTGCAGACTCCATGGTGTTTGAATAATGTCAGTGTCGTGTGTTGCCACTGGTGATGATGGTTGAAAATGAATCCTGTATTTGCCTTCCTTCCACCAGTCTCCTTAAAGTAACAGGCTGATGTTTGCACACTTGCTTGGCCTTTATTGCCTTTTAAACACAGACAACAGCATCAGAGCCGACCCTCTGACTCCTTGTAGAACTCAATATTATGTGAAAATCAGAACCACGCTGGGGGTCAGGGAATACCCAAGAGTCAATAGGTAGTTCTTGCATGTACACACCTTTACATTGAAATGTTTGTGTGTTTATGTACAGACCGAAAGATGGTGTCCACCCACCTGCCGCTGGCCTGGACCCACAGCTCTGCCCTGGAGGAGCAGAAGTTGTTGTCTCTACTGGAGGACTTGGCCAAGACGTTTCAGCCACACTGAGACAGCGGGAACCGGTCACCAGTACACCACCGACACTAACACCATCCGTTCATACTGACCGAGGCTGGACTCAGTATTACATCCCCATGATGATATAATACTGTACACGCCGGCAGAGGGAATAGATCTGTGTCCATTTTATCCAAAGCATTTGGAGTGTTAACACTACCTGCGGTCTCTGGCTTTAAATGGGACAGAATGAAGATAAAATGTGTTTGGGAAACGCAGCCTCACAATGCCAGATTAAACTTGTCTATAATAGAGGGATGAGAAAGATTTGTAATAACTATTTATATGATAACAAATGTCCTCATCTGTGAGCTTAACCTTATACAGACTAAACATTTTATTGTGTAAGAGCGTTTGACAGTGATGCTGCCTTTACATTTTCAAAGGATGTCATCTTACCTATGGAGAGAGCACCTTTATAAACACACACACACACACACACACACACAATCCAGTCTGTTACTTTGACTTTATGAAAGTTGTCAATCAGATGGGAATCTGATGTGACCGAAGTCACTCACACACACCCTGCATTGTTAGTTCACAACACCAGCCGTGGGTTCAGTCTCGTTCTTGTCGTCTGGATGACTTACAAACGTGCCACGTGATGTGTACCTAACAGCCCCGTCGATAACCTGTGTATTTGCTACGTTGTAGTGCAGCGTCTGTACTGTGCAGGTTGGGCTCATGCTGGGGACGAGGTGCTCTCTCTATTAGCCGCGTGCCTTAAACACACCACACAGCACCACCGCTTGAAATGTGCAATAAAACCTATGTGTTTATGACTCAGTAATATCTGCCCAGCACCTTTAAAAAGGCCTTTTACTGACTGTGACTTTGGCTTGAGTTTATCTTGTAAATGCCTGCTTGAATAAAGAAAATGATTGATGATGTTTTGTGTGTCTCATTGTGCAGCTGGAGCTACATTTCAGTTCATACAAAAAACAGTCAAATAAACATATCAGAATATCTTTATTAAGCATCAACTCTTTAGTCCCTCTGTGCCCTCCAACCAGGACAGAGAGACTAAAGTCAGTACTGTATTGTCAACAAAAGTATTTAAAAATACAGTTACTTTGAGATTTACATAAACAACATCATGTTGGAACAGCGAGTGTCTTTTACAAGCGTCTGAAGAGGAACAAGTCAAACAGAAATCAATTTGGGTTTGAGATTATGGGCTGTGGTGTTGTGGAAAATGAGTCATCTTTAAAGTGTTGATGTGGCCTCTTGTCAACATGTAGGCCACCCGTTCTAGTGTTTGATGAACCAAAGATGACAAAAACAAAATGACTCCCATGACTGCTCCATCTGCTGAATGAAAAGAAAACAAACTGTTTACAACATGAGGAAATCTATTTCTTCCTTCCTTCCTGCGACTGGCTGGCAATCTGAAGATCTATTTCATTAGCTGTTTCTGCAAACAGCAAATCCTGCCATCCATCATACCTTTAACTTCTTGTCCATCTGCCGTGGACTTAAGCCTCCAGAGCCAGAAAGCCTTTTTATCACCAAATGCAATCTGTTACAAGGACATGATGAGGTAATGACTGGAAGAAGCTTCGACATCCAGTTAACTGAAAAAGGAAAGGAGAGCTTCGACTCCTGATTGTACGGTAGCATCAATAACCCTGTAGACCCAAACAGATGCTTTGTGACATGAGTTTTCAGGATACTTGGGGTTGGACTGACAGATCAGCTTGCCAGTTTTGCTGATTCATGTTGTCTTATTTCGAATATGACAGAAGTTCAGCTAGTAGGAGTCTTGAAAACGTGCAAAAAAAGCTGCATTGATCAAAATGTTTCTATACACAATGGATCAAATGTCTCTGTGTTATGTGAAAGGGGACACTTTTAGCAACAAGCCCAGAGAGAATTACCCCGATAATGCAGTCTTTAAGCTTACTGTTTTGGTTTTATGGGCTACATTATGGGCAACATATAGTCTTATCACCATGTTTCCAACTGTTTTTGTAATAAAAAAGCTCAGATAAAGCGACTGTAAACTACCTCAGCACCAAGAGCAGACAGACAATAGAGACTGTCTGATGAACATAATCAGCTGAAGAGCCAGATATTTCTCTCAGAAAGTGCCACTTTCTTTAAACCAGTAACACAGCTTTAACATCTGGAACATTTACTGTTTAGTAACTTAAAGCTGCACTACTCAATATCTTTATATTAACAATGGATAAATGTAATGTTAAAGATGTCACTTAAGTACAGTGAGAAACCCATAGATAATTTTCACCCAACTCTGGAGCTCTACACAGCTCCTCTTTTAGCTTTTTAGCTTCTTTTAGAGCAGTATGTTTGTTTTCCAGCACGCAAACTCTTCTCTCATTCACCTCATTTCCAGCAGCAGCAGGCACAAGCTCTGATAATCCCCTTGTATGCTGCCTGCCCGGCACCAAACGGCAGGAAAGTTAGTGGCTAGCTGGTTGGCATAGTAGAGCATTTAGCAGCGGAAGAGACTTATTTTTCTCTGGAGCTGGAGGAGAAGAGTGAGTACTGGTCCTCATCAAGTGGACAGACTGTTTGCTAGAACGTTCACAACAACTTTATAAAGTGGCAATATGTGAATGTTGTGTTCACAGCGTGTCGCTACACCCGAATGGCCAAAAAGAAATACATTTGATGATTGCAGCTTTAATATCTTTCACATTTTATTAACTCTTGGCGGCACCCAAAAAAAATCCATGACTGCAACTTTCCTAATATATTTTGCAAATGATTTCTGATAATTCTGAAAGCATGTTTTATCCCAGAGCACCCAGAATCCAGATGTGTGCACAGAAAAAAAAACATACTTTCCATCTAGACCAAAATCCATTTTTGGAAGGAATGGACAAAAATATAATGGATTGAATATAATAAACATAATACTATATTCATGCTAAATATTGGCTACTGACAAATTGAATCAGAATTTGCTTTCAGTCTAATCCCAAGTATGATTGTGTGACATCTAAATATCATGGAGTAAGGTCTCGGTGATAGCAAACAATAGCAGTCATATGACAGTGCTGTCACTTCATTAACCAATCAACTCTGTCCCTTTTAGGACTTAAAATACTGCATAGTGCTGCAGTCAATCTCAACACTACTGAGGCCATGTGCTTCATTGCAGAGCGCTTAACATGTTCTAGTTTGTTATTAGGAAATAAAGACTACTAGATGGGCACAAAGAAAAGTAAACAACCATTTACAATGATAACAGATAAATACTTTACTACAAATATAAATATACACTACATGATCAAAAAACTGGAATGTGACTACATTTTGAGATCAGGAATTCCAACATTATAATGCTCATTTTTCCACTTACAATAAGGCAAGCGTTAGTCTAACATTAGAAGATACTAGCCGCTATTTACAAGGACGCTACATCGAATCCAGCTATTACCCCCTTCCCAAACTTACAAAAATGATTTATTTTAATTCAAAGACAAAGACCACGAGTTGTGCAATTCAGTGCAGTTGTGAGAGTGTTATGATGCACAGATGTGTGGGGGAAGTAGGAGGGCTCGGAACAAGATTTGGAACAAAAACAAAACAAGGACAAAAGGAAACGAGACATCCAGAGCTTCATGATGAGGTGAGTGCTCGAGAGTGAATGATGGTGAGTGAACAGTCGTAAGCACTGGAAAACCGCTAAAAAGGCTCTGTGAGTGTGTCCTCTCTTTTAAGGCTTTTGAAGGAACACAGGCAGCCCTGATCTGACCCGAGATACAGCTGGGGACGATTCAACACGCCAGCATTTAGTGCTACATTTAGTTTAGTACCTGTCTGTACCTAAGTGCCTCTCTGGTGGGAGGAAATCCAATTTTGCATCACCATCAGTGCCATGTAGTATCTACCTACACAGCCAGTGTAGTACATTTTGTTTTTGTTTTTTAACCGAGAGTAATAAATATCTAGGAGGTGGTGATGCTGTGCTATTTTCTAAACTAGTTTTTACCAAAATAAAAGTTGGAGACTCAAACCCAGAAAGCTGAAAAGAAGTTACACCAATCAAATATTGAATTGTAATTCGACTGGTGCACCTCGGGATGGCTGCAACAGGATGTTTGATGCTGCCTCGGTCAGTGCATGTCACTATGGCAACATATTCAAATTTCCCATGCCTCACCAGGCTGGGTCAGTGCTGTCATGCAAACATCTGACAAGAACATAACATTTCTATGGCAGCATCTTCGTGTGTAAATCAAGGGACTTCCTTCTATCTAAAAAAGAGGCTGTTCTATTGATTTTACTACCACGCTGGAGTGATTACACATTAATAATGGTTTACGACTGACATGAAGAGCCCCCGCCCAGTGACAACTTACTGATGTAAAACCTCCTGAGAGTGATTTAAGGCCAACTAGTGAAAGAAAACAAATGAAAAAGAGAGGAAAAAAAGACAGAAAAAGCTGATCACTTTGATCAGTGAGAGTCAATTCAAGCAACTATCTAGTATACACATGATGCAGGGGTATATACAGATGATCAGGGTCTTTTTGTACATGTTACAGTGACTGAGTAATATGCAGTTAGTGGGCCACAATAATAAGCAGGCTAGTGTATGTTTCTACAGGAATGGCAGGTCAGGGATTTAGTGAAACCTAACTTTACAGTGCAAGAGTAATAAAAAAAATTACCTTTGTCAAAAGAAGCATTGGAAATATTAATATAATGTAAACACTAATATCAATACCATTCCTCCCAAAGGAGAAATCATTACGATACATGCACACATGTACACACACACCATTTGTGCTTAGGGTTCTGTTTCGGATCAGAGCAGAGAGTCAAAAAATCTGTCACTCACACTTTCATGTAGGACTGAAAGTTAGTGAAATTAAAGACCAATTGGTTATGAAAAGTAAAATGAATGTGGAGGGCTGCACTATCTCCACACACAGACACACACACACTCTCACACACACACACACAGACACACACACACAGACACACACACACACACACACACACACACACACACAAACACGCTCTCATACGCACACGCACACGCGCACGCGCGCACACACACACACACGGTCACACAGTCACCAAGAGCAGGGACTGGTTGTAGCTGAAGATCCCAGGCGTGATGGGGAGATATACTGTACAGAGGGGTTTCCATGACATTGGAAGAGTGGGCGGAGCATGTAGTGGGCCGGGCCAATCAGCGCGGAGAGAAGCCTGTTGCTAAGCTACAGCCAACCACCTGCGTCACATCCCAGATCTGTGGAGACAAACAGCCAATAGCAATGACAGAAGGCTGGTGCAAAGCTGCATTTAAGGATTCTGCATTATTGCTGAGAAGACTCAAACTGTTCCTGTTGTTGTTTTAATACTTGTGTTTTCAGCTTATCAAAATGCTAGATGTAAGACACATAGATAATTTAGAACAAAATACACAATGCACCAATTAAAACATGATTCATTGAAAAAAAAAAAAAAAACCTCCCCGCCTGACCTGAAGCGATAGTGATACATCCAATCAAAAATCTTGTGTTTGAATCGGTTAGGTCTGTAAAGGTTGCTGTTAAAGGTCTGTAGTTTGCTTTTTCCTAATACTTCCTAGTAATCCTACACTTTCCCGTTGCTTTATAGACTTGTAGCCTCTGAGACAAATGGGCGTCAACAAATGGACCGTACAGATGGACAGAGGAGAGGTAGATAATGCTGCAGCAGTAGTTTAAGAAGTTTTTAGGAAAGTTTGAAAACTTGAGTACAATGTAACAGACATGAATTCAAGTTAACCACATCTACTGCAAAATGAAAGTGCCTGTATAGCTCTTTTATAAGAATGCAATCACATAAATGTTAAATACCATACATGACCAATAAATCAATAGGCTCTTTTGAGACTTAAGTTCAGATCATTTTTAGGGTTTTAGGACTGCCTGCAGGCACCCTGATTTCCTATCAGGAATCTAAATCTGAGATAAGCTTGACAAAATAATAGTGATTTGCTTCGTTTTGGTGTGATCAGTGTGCGTTTGACACAGCCTGAATACATGCATGAATTATCTTGTATCAAAGAACTGTTGTTGACCTTAACAATGCGGTCGCTTCCACAAGTGACCATCAGGCCTCTGGATGGGTCCATGTCCATGTGGGCGATGTTGTGTTTCCCCTCGTGGAACGTTGCCAATGCTGTTCGACTGCACCACACACACACACACACACACACACACACACACACACACACACACACACACACACACACACACACACACACACACACACACACACACACACACACACACACAGACAGACAGACAGACAGACAGACAACATTTGAGCCCTCAGTTATCTGAAAATAGCAGTATAATGTGACCAGTTATTAGAAATTTTAAAAAAGCCCTTCACTCACTCTTCTTCTTTGATGGTATCAAAGCAGGCATCACAAACCCGCACTGGGAACTCGAAGCCCATGATTGGAAATGTGGAGCGTTTAGAACTACATTTTCCACACACAGCCTTGCCACACTTTCTGCAGTGGTGCTGCACAATGAAAAAAACACCCATATATTAGCATGACTGAAGGTTGAAGGACTCACAACTGTTAGAGACACTGGTCAGACTAGCCTACCTGTCTGAGCCCCAGGGTCTTAGTGTCCCACATCTGCTTGATGTTCCAGAAGAACGGCTGCTCACACTTCTGACAGGAGTCGCTGTCTAACCACTGGGGCGCCTGCAGACACACGTGAAGTTTTTATTAAACAAGCACAAACACCGTAATGTAGAGCACTAATTGAAATCTCAAGGGCTGCAAAAATCATCTTTAACCAGAACTGAGACAAAAACAGAGGAGAAACAAAACTCTCCAATTATGACCAACTTCTAAAAACTAAAACATGTCCTGGTAGCTACTGTATGCTGCTTTGACCATTACACAAAGTGAGCAGCGAGTGCTGTACAGTTTATAGTAGTAGTGCCTGTTAAACAAGTCAATTCAAATTTAATGTAAGATACTTTATTATTTTCAATTTACGGCAACAAAAAACTAAGCTAGAAGAAAGCAGAAACACTAAAATGTGAAAATAAAGGTATCTGAGCTGCCTGTATTATTACAGCTTTTATTTTGTGGCAGTTATGATAGTGATGCAAACCTCTTCTCTCTGTGCGTCCATGTTCCACACTGCGATGCCTCCGTCGGCTGAGCAGGACAACAACTGCCTGGTCAACTGAAGGTAACGCAAGGCCTGAACCCGTTCGCTGAGGGAGACATTGGATACAGAGGAAGAATGAAAAGGGAGAAAAAGTTTTAAATCAAATCAATGATTGTCGCTCAGTCGCTCACACACACGCCACACACACACACACACACACACACACACACACACACACACAAACACAAACACACAGATGTATAAAGCACTCATGACAACTTCTAATATTTTTGCTGACCACTCTGACTACACTGACAAAAGCACTTATGCTCAACTGTTGTACCACTACTGTGCATAGGAAGTCTATTAAATACATTTTAATACGTTAGTTAAACAGAGGAGAGGAGGAGGACAAGAAAAAAGGAGTGATAAGGACACCAAAAAGGCTCGAAAAGCGATAAAGACTGGGTCAACACAGGATTAAGGACTAGAACAGCATTAAACTGTCATTTTTATGGGTGTCTGAGAGACAACCTTCTGTAAATCCTGCTAGGATGCAACAGGATCTACGGAGGCTTGCTCTGATACGCATCAGTGTACATGGGCTTTGTTGATGACTGCTGTCACAGGGGGAGGTGGTGAAATATGTATGAAAATCAAGAAGTGGAGATAAGAACAGCTGTTGCAGATACCACCTTTTCCCCTGACTTAGTTTTTAAGCTTCCCGATCCCTGACAAACACAGAGGAGGTAAAGCAAAGTCATCCATGCATATATGCGAAACATTGACTGGACTTACTGGTGTCCCTGCAACAGTAACGTTCGTCCTTTGCGGCCCCCAATGTCCCACATGATGACGCTGTGGTCGGAGGCTCCGGAGAACAGCAGCCTCTGGACAGGGTCCCACCACAGGGTTGCTATACTACCTGGAGGGGACAGAGGGATGAACGGAGAGAGACACACTTGTTACATGTGTTAATATGTGCTACAATAGGCTGTTGAGGGACAGTGTTATGGTCTGACATGTTGGCTCCACCTGGTGCCCGCTGGGAGAACTACAGGAAGGTCTGACCACATGTGAAACCTGGGGGTATCATTTTCAATCTTGAAACAAGGTGCATGTTTAAGAAATAAGAAAAACAGCCCAAAAGCTGCTGCCACTGATCTCACAACAGTCATTCACAGACTTTTTTTGGCAGAGGGTAGAGGATATTTCCAGTGAAACATTCAGCTCTCAACAAGAAAAGAACTCAGGGACAGACAATTACGCTCTTGAAGTTAGACCAGTCATGTGATGAATAATAGCCTGAGGCAGGTGGTGGTGGACTGACTAGGCTGGCGGTAACTGTAGCTACTGTACATGAGAAACAAGGCCACTACACATACACAGAGCACCATACTACCGTGGAATCCTGTCATCTGACAGCTTTTTAAAGCTTTCTCAGGTACTTCACCTTGTACACATTGTATCCTCATACAGCCACACACTGTAATAGCACACTATGATATAACTGTAGGGAGCCGGACCACACGCTGGACCACATTACTGACAATGTGGAAGGGATGGACTGTGGAAAAGTTATAACTTCATATTCCTCTGCTGAAGGCATGTTTCCACCAGCTGACGTGTGGGGGAAAAACTGCAAAAAGACCTGTATCTGAAAACGAAACAATGTCACATGTAAAAGCAAAGTTGTGAATATTCATATACATCTTCTCATTCAGGGCCAGTTTAACGTCATGTTAAGATGAAAAGAAGGGCAGTATGACAAAAGAAAAACCTTTTCTAACAAGGGCAAATATACAAACCTTAAGACTAAGGCGAGGTCTGACCTTTTCCCTTCTGTTTTCCAAATTTAATCAATCATAACTTGCAATAAATATTTTGGTGGAACTCCTGGTTGTGCACAGCTAGAGACCAGCACCACGCCCATTATTATGCATTATTATCAGCCTAATCAGTATGTATTATCATGGGCACATCTGCACATCAAAGAGAGAGCTGGGAAATAATAAGTTGTTATGGTGTAAGGATTTGTATTTTTTTATTTGAAAGGTAATGGCACATTAACATGTCTGTCCCAACGGGCTAACCTGTACGCAATACATCTGTGGTAAAAATAGGATTTTTGAATAGTGAAGAGTACCATCTGGTCAGATGAATCATCCCTCATCCTTTTTCAACTAGTTCATGAGCACGTGTATGACAAGTGCCCAGAGGAGAACTCAGTGAAGTGTTCTGGCGGCTAATTTTTGTTAAGGGATTCATTATCTTGGCATAGCTACACAGAACCCTTGAAAACGAATCCCACAGAACTAATACAGTCATCCTTTGATGAAGCATTTGTATTGTGATGGGAGTTTCCGGGAATGATAATAACTAATACTGCCATCTAAACAGCCCAAATGTGTCACTGAGCAGCTTGACAAGCATGGAAACAACACAGTCTCAACCCAGACAAGCAGATATGGGAATTTCCAGAGCAGCATAAGAGATGCCATTTTCCTTCATCATCATCATCAAATCCAAATGATGGGATTTTGTGTGGAAAAGTGGTTTCACAGCCTGCCAAAAGAGCTCTACTCACTTGAACACTAAATGTCAGACCCCATAAAGCTTTTATTGCGGTGGGTGGTAGCTCAACGCTACAAATGTTTGTAACAATGCCCAGAGTAATCTGTAATTTTACTCAGGTAACGGTGCATTTGATTTTAATGCCTTTACCCCCTTCCAGTTACTATAACCCCTGGGCAAACACCGGAAACACCAGGGAGTAAGGAAGGAAGTCGGCGAACTAGCTAGCCAGCCATTGTTTACTGTTCGTATTGCTCACTTGTGATGGAGCACAAGTATTAATTGCTATTTAAAACAATGAAGACAACAACTCCCATGATCCCTCACTACTTCACAATGTCCTCAAAGTCTGTATGATGTTATTGTTCTGACTGAGAGACCCATAACTGCAGAAATGACATACTGTGCGTTTAACTCAAGCCAAGAGCTTTTTTTTAATCATGCAAAATGCATATTTGAAAAAACTGTTTTTTATGGAAACAAAAAAGCATGTGTCATCATGCTGGAATTAATTGGTCTTTCTTTCTCTTACATAATGATGTCACATAGAGGAATCTGGGTCATCCACTGTTTACTGCGGCCATATCTGGCTTCAGCATCAGAAGCCTGCTTGTGTGCAGTACTTGTGCTGTGGACTTCACCTACACTAGGAGAAAACAATAGCTCTGTGTGGACTATTCTTAACATGTATGCAGTGTGTGTCTTTACCTTCATGACCCTTCAGTGTAGTGATGATGGAGTACGTCTGATTCTCCAGTTTCAGCAGCGTGATCTGTCCTGAGTAATCGCCAACAAAGGCATGCTGCGTCTCGTGATCGTATCTGAGCGGGGAGTCAGGGCTTAAACACAGTCTGTTGCTACTTCAGCTGATAGGTGCACTCATGTACTGTAAACACAGGGAGGGAATGAAGGATACTGTAGGCACGAGGCCCAGGCAGTGAAGTAGTGTCTCCCCAGCATGCTGCCACTCTGGGTGCACATCCAGCTTACGCTCTTGTCATGGCCGGTACTCACCACCCACTCACTCTCCAGGGAGAACACCATATCTGACACACGATTCTGGTGGGCTGCAAAGCACAAACACATAAAGTGTTAAACAAGTCATGTTGGATAAACATCAACAAGATCCCGTCTATTCTATTGGACTTTTTATCTGAGCCGTCGTGGATGAGCACCATCTAAGACTAATTTGCCCTTTGCATGTGCTGATCCCACCTGCTTAGTGTTACTGTAATCCAGACTATGTCAGACAAATCCCTTCAAACGATTTGAACTCCCTTCAGTCTTAAAGGTCCATCTGGGGATCACTGCTAAAAAGGGGCACAATTTGTTGACTTTCTGTATTTAATGTCACTGATTTTACCCGCTGTAAACACCGTATTTTGTAACTCTTTACCACCAGCTATATTGATATAATACAACATTTAATAATAATATTTAAAACTCTGCTGATAGTCAATACACAGGATATGTTATTTATCTATGCAATATGAATACAACAACAATAATAGATTTTTTGCTCACTTTTCAGCATTGGTCACACAACTAAATTTCTTGGCCACATGGGGGCAGCAAAACAAGCTTTAAGCACAACACTGACATATGATATTATCCCCTTCTGAATCTAGCAACTACAGGGCAACACTAGCAGTCTTTCAGAGTTGTTTTTCTGGCCAACACATGAGGGTAAGTATAATGTAATGTAATGTAATGTACAGCACTAAGAGTGAACCCAAACAGTTTAACTGTAGGCTGTAAAACCAAAACAATGAGCTCAAAGATGCTAAACGCGCTGTAGATAGTAGCTGTAGGGATCTGCAGAGCTGACTGATGATTCTCTTCATCACCGAAGCGATCCCTTTCTCATTACACATTTCAGCCACTGTTAATATGAAAATACTGATTATAGCAGCTTTAAATTAAAACAATTTTACATCCCTAAAAAAACAGTAATGTCTTTCAGCTCCAAGTCTACAAGATAGTAAGATTAACTATTAGAACTGAGTCAACCCTGAAATCTAACTTAATGGTACATGTACTTTCTATTTTACCCTCTTTCAATGAATGAGAAAATGATCTGCATATTTATACTGCCTCATGATCAAACCATGGCAGTAAATTGCTCTGGGCTGAAGCTTTGATCTTCCCTGTCCTCTTTCTTCTCAAAGATTTTTTCTTCCTGGAATTCAATGAAGTAACTGTAAGCGTTTAAGAAACATTTCAAATATATGTTTCTTCTATCTTTTTTCTGTAACTTGTTGCTGTCCTCGCTGCCTGATTGTTTTTGTCCCTTGTACAGAAGACACTGCTTGTGTGCAAGCCACCATGAACATGTTCACATAATAACGTAGTACAGATTTTGCTAAGCAATTAATCCGAACTACAGAGAGGAAAGCATTTTCCAAAATCATTTCCATCATTCTGTCAATTTATAACCAGACTGAGCATATGTAAGCTGTTTTTGTCACTGGCCAGTGGGTGGCTAAAAAAAGAAGTCAATATTGCCTTGTGTGCAGCTGTGAAGAAAGCAACACTGACTGCCAAAAAGCAAAATAGCAATGTTAAGCCCTGCCTGTCTTTGAAGTGCATAGACACATCCTAATGCCTGTTTGATCTGATTGTGACTCATGTTTGTGCTGTTCGGGCTCTGCTGCTTGATTTTGCTACAAGTGGTAGAAACCAGATGGAGCATTCCAGTGGTGTCGTGGCGTTTTCCCTTCTAAAGCAACAGGCTGGCCATTTTCCCCCGGAGCCAGACTTTCCACTGAGGAGGCTAAATGGCTGCTGATACCGTCACAGGAACTGTGTTCTGCTTATAACCTTCCAATTATGACAGGAGATGAAATCAAGATGTAATGACTAGGGCTGCAACTAACAATTATTTTCATTATTGATTGTGAAAAAATACATCTCAACTTCACAGAGCCCACGTTGACCATCATGACAAAGATGTCCTGGTTTGTTCGAACAAAAGTCCAAAATTGGAAGACATTCACTTTATACATATGTATAATAAATCCTCTCGTTTGAGAAGCTGAGACAGAATGTTTTTTCACCATTTTTGCTTGAAAATTGACAGAAACGATTAAATGATGATCACAATAGTTGTGACATCATTTGACCAATGGAACAGCTCTAGTAAAACACTGTAAATGAGTGCTTGCTGGAGCTGTAACTTCTTCATGTCAGTATCAGTAAGCAAAGAGTTGGTGGCAATAGCACGCAAAGAAAGTATTGTGCCACCTAAGGCAGGGAAGAAGCCTGTAAGCTAGAAAACATGGATGTAAACAATGATGACATAAATAAATTAAGTCAAAGGAAACATTTGTCATGCTTCATGGATGCATGCGATGCATTTCGGTGAGTCATACTCACAAGTAAACATAACTGTTTGTTTTAATAAAACTCCACAAGCCACCTTTAAGTATGAAGGGCCAAAATATAGGGTGATGTAGGACTCTTTGTACTGACAAACACAATGCCTTGTAGTAATTTATGGTTTACTTATATCTATGTGTGTTAATGTCAACATTAAACAACACAGTTTAATGATTATTAATTGAGAGGCAAAACTGGCAGCTATCTACATTTACTAATAATTTAAAATCATTATACTCACAAGGAATAACATAGGGTTATCCCCTTTGCAGTAAAAAGGAAAATAAAACCATTTTGTAACACTAAATTTACTCAGTAGTGTACATAGTCTTGCTTAACGTGAGTCTCCTGGGGCAGGGAGGGGCCACGTCTCAATACACAGTACAATACACAGAAACACTTCCTTATATGCACAGATCAAACTCACTCTAAGGATTTACACAAGCCTAACAAGAGTATATATCCTTATAATGTAATACAAATATCTGCAGTGGACATACCACCTGAGAAAACAGCTTCTTCTTTTAAGCTGTGTACACACCCTAATATTTTAATACCAGTCGCTGATGAACACTGATGAATACAAGATAGAGAATAAGATGAAGGATGCGGTTTTGTGGTATAGCTTTTCTCACACGAATATATTTTTCTGTGATACTTTGACATCAAAACAAACATACAGCTTGGCAATCCATAAGACTGGACATTCTGCTAGTTCTCAATGGAAATATCTGCAAACACTTGCTACCTGTTAACGAAGGCAAGTCCTGCCTCATTATTACAGCCTTATAGGAGTTGTTGTTGTCAACTGTGCTTCATTTTGCTTATATTCTAGTTTTGTTAAATATTTGAAAGGTATTTTGTGATTTGAGCCAGCATACATCACAAATGAAAAAGGTTAAATTGTGATGTCTGCATGGTCAGTGAAACATAAACAATGTAGTTCTGCCCACAGTCTCAACTCAGCTGCATTTGCACATCACAGTTCTCACCTGGATATGTTTTGACGTGGTTCATCTTGTTGAAATCTTCAGAGATAAGGAACTCCTAGAAGAAAAGCAAACACACACAAAAAACACATTTCAAATCAAATAACTATCCTGCCCCCACAGGCATTTGGAGGAGTCCAAATATTGAAGCTGTGGCCTATATAAACCAGATATGCAGGCTCTTTAAAACTACACTGAACAAGCCATTTGTTTGAGTTAGCTTCACTCACCACAACAGCTCCATTGTCCTGGCCTATGAAGATGCGTCTGCTGTCATGGTGGTACGACATGCAAGAGCATGGAGCTAAAAGAGAAAGAAAACAGTCGCCATTAGCAGGGAAATCACCATCTTCACGCCACATCGCAGAGAGGTGTGCATTATATTGCTGCAGTGGTTAAAAATAACAAAAGACAAAAAGTGTGCGCACACATCCTTTTCCCATTGAAGCAATGCCGTCTTACTTACAGGAGACTGTGTGGTAGATGCTTGGCCAGTACTGACCGCTGTCTCTTTTCAGCCAAACTCGGATGGTTCTGGAGGAAAATGATAAAACATCACATTCAAAGCACTCTCCAGTGTCTTCTCCAAGGGTCATTCTGTAGTCTATTTTGTGTATTGAAGGTACATTTTTGATCTAAATGAAGACAAAATGCAGTTCCAATCTTTAACTTAATGTTTGTATAGACCTAACCTGCAGTTACACAAATATATACTTGATCTAAAAATGATACTTGGCAACTTTCAGTGGAAATACTCAAGGGAAATATCCAGTGAAGAAAGCCCTCATGTAGGACTGAGCTTAATCCTCGTCTAGGAAACCAGCCCTAATTCTCTTTACACACAATGCTTGATTCTGTTCACAAAACAGCAGTGAAAGCAGTCACATTTATAAACAGTGTGTTTAAATCATTTCAGTTAAAAATGTGAAAAAATATTCTTGTAGTCTTTTTCGTGTCATCTAACCGTACAGCATTACAGAAGTGATTATTCAATACTGAATCACTTTGGATACTTTGACAAACAACACTTTATGGTATGCATTTCCCCTCCTAAAAATAAAATACGAAACCGGACAACTTTAAAAAGATCACATACTGTCACGTTGTGTTTTTGAAAACCACATTACATTTTCAGTTCAAGTACATTTAAACTAAGCTTCCATCAGCCTTTTTTTTAAGGAATCGGGTTCAAGGTTTTACTGCTGTTCCAGTAAAATGTCTGCAAAGTGAGAGAATAACTGACATCAAAAGCAGCAAAGCAACTGTACAGCCCTGTTTCATCAAGGAACCGCACCCCGCAACTTCCCCCTTGATTATCAAGCAGGTTAGACTTTCTTTACAGCAACTAAGTTCCTTTATCTTCAAATGAGGATGTTACATCTTCACACTTGTTAACCAAGTGGGACAGCTCTACTGATGTCACTTACAGTGTAACTTGGTGAATGTGATGGACTGACATGATCATGTTTACACCTTCAGCTCCTGCCACAGTGAGAGTAAGGGTAGAGGTCTGTCCCATTATACTTGGACTGCTGCCTTCAAGTCTTGCTGAAAATATGGTATTAATTGTATAGTGGTACTCATAAACGCCACAACAGAATGATTTTCTATTATACCCAAGTTATGTAACTTATGTGGTGTTCATGGGGACGCAGCCATTTCAACAAGTATTGCCTGTAGTACCAGCCACTTATTATAAAGCAACTTGTAAATAAGACCTAAATGTACTCTTGGTTGTTAATGTTTTCATCCAGACAAACAGCGTAATGAATGAATATGTTGTTAAATGTTATTAGAAGCTTAAAAGAAACTTGAGATAAATAAAATAACTATATAACGTTAACGTTACAGGATACGACGAGCACTTGAAGGCAGCAGTCGCTAGTTTGAGAAACTATTGTTTACTATTAGCAGTAACTAGCTAACTTAGTTAAGTCAACATAGCCTAACACATATTGATACTGTTATACAAAAGGAAATTATGGGTTGTAAAAGCCAACTTTACAGAGTTATTAACTGTTATATTCCCGTTTACTATTAGGCTTGGTTGTTTGATCGCGGATAGTTTATGGAAATGACTCATTCTTTATGGCTTTCTATCCCGACACCCTCCGACGCTAGCCGTGACTCCGTATGGAAAATCCCAACCAATGCATTTCTCTCTGAAACCACAAAAATGTTTCTTTTCCTCTTTTTTGTTTCCTTTCTTCAACCTGAAACCAGGAAATATGAGTGCAATGACCAGCAAATAGACCGAGCCCGCTAGCTAACGTCAGTGCCGTTACGCTACCGTTAGCCTGCCTGGCAAACTCACCTGTCCTCGCTGACCGTGATCACTCCATCTTCTTTAGGTATTAAAACGGCTGCGTTCACAGCGTCTGAGTGGCCCTCGATCTTGTTTAAAAGAACAGGTCTAGCGGTTTGGGGCCTTGAATGAATCTCCGCAGCCATGGTTTTAACAGTGCGACCAGTAGTGTTTTCCTTCTGCTGCTTTTCCTCCTCACTCACTCGCCAGTAGAGGAGGATCAGCTGACACCCGGAGCCGCTGTCAGGATTACCGTAATGACTGCAACAATGCTCCCAACGCATTCAGACTGGAAACAACTGGGACGTGAATCACTGGATGCCATATTACCCACAAGGTTTAAGGGCCTTTAATGTTTTGCACAGCAACACAGCAAAGGGATATAGGGCCAGATTGGTGCCTGAGATTGGATTAGCTTCAGCTGTATTGCCCCTGCACAGAGTAGAACCAAGACGATGAAATGCTGTAGCTTCTAACCAGAGGTGCAAAAAGCAGTAAAGTGCAGAATAATGTAAATGTGTAATAAATAGCAGTGGGGGCTGGATATGAATATGCTGACATACAGTCAAGCACTTTGTACAGTGGGTTGTGGTTGTGTTACATGTTAATGCAGAATTAATGATCCACCTGACCTGAGCAAAGCATGTCTTAGGGCCAGTAACTCCTATACATGCATCTATACAGTAAATAAGCATCATATTCATGTCATTTATAAATATAATGTAATAATTTATTATTTGTTGTTCATTACTATTCCATCTTTTACATGCTGTGTAATATTCTACTCAGTGTTTAGGGTACTATTATATTCTCATCATTTTTTCAGACAGGTACAAGGTACAGTCAGTGTGTGTCTCCCTGCACACACGTTAGATAAATGTGTTTTAGCCACTGCCCATAAAAATGTCTGAGCAAATCCCTGGAGAGGAAAAAGAAACAAAATGTAGCCCCATGTCAGAGAAAGGCCACTCATGTACAAAGTCAGAGCCCTTCAAGTCGAGTGATTTTATAAAAACGGTGCCCAAATGTGACCAATCCCGTTGTCCGCTTTAAGGACTGAACCTGCAGCTCAGAGGCTTCTAAAAAAAATTTTTCTTTCTGGAAAACGTGTGTCTATACTGCGTTGGACCTGTAAGACACTGATAATACGTTCAGTTTGTGCTTCTGGTCCAATGTATGTAGAACTAAAAATTCAAGTACTAAAAAAGAAAATGTAAAGTTAAAAATGAAAGTTTAAATTTCAACTCTAGAAGCAGAATTTACTTTTCAACAATAGAAATTTCCAACTCAAAGTATCTAATGTTAAATTCAAATTATGAATCTGCAGACATGTTTTTTTAATTTTAGATTTGGCGATTCCAGCACTAATTCTAAATAAGTACTATAATAAGAACTTCCGATTTCAAAACTGTAAGTATATATTAGTCTGTGTTTCAGCCTTGTAACAAACCTACTGACCTATCCAGAATATAGCCCCCCTCTTGCCTAATGTGCTTCAATAAATTCCTGCCACCCATATCCCTCAACAGGGTTAATGGTTTGGAATACATGGATGTGTTTTAATAATACACACTGTCATTGAAAATGCAAACACAGCACAGCAACATGTCACATGTTGACATTCAGAAATACTATTACTAGAAATAAGTAAGGCAAAATCATTGATGTTATAAATATGTGTATTTATTTGATCACATATGAAGCAAGTATGATAACAGAAGACGTCCTCAGTGAGGGAAACAATTATTGTAAAGTAGCTGAATGCAAGGCGTTCAACATGTGACGTACATTGCCATAACTTAGGAGTGAAACTTAGAACAGACTGGAGTGACATGACTTGAGATGGAGAACTTTTAAACTGAAATGGTGACATGATAAACAAACTGATTATCCTACTCCAGAGTTGAGAAAATACACAATTGACATTCAAAGTCTTTTAAAAATGTAATAAATTCAAAAAAAGTATACAAAAAAATTAAAACAGCTGGAAGATTTAGTCTGCAGAACATTTTATAACGCATGTTATGCATTACAGAAAAAGGGTAACATAAGAAGCAATATTTAAAACAAATAACATATGTCCACACTGTACATAAGTCTACAGCAAAGTCTGTGTGTGTATGTGTGTGTGTGTGTGTGTTCATGCGTGGGTGTGTGTGTGTTCATGCGTGGCAGTGTAGAAGCATTTCCCGTGCTGGCCTACGATGATACAGTACCAGGGGCAGGCCAGTGATGGCTGGGCTCAAGGCTGATTGATCTGGCCCATAAAGAGAATGGTACCTGGGGACAGACACAGGGAGAACTCACAGTGAGGGACTGCATTCTGTAAGTTACCTGGTTTCACTGAGCCTAACACTGGTGACCGATATTACATTATATATTATACACCATATTTCTAATGGTGAAACGTCTAGTTCAAAAACAAATGTTAGCTCTTCTATATAAATCTATGATATATACCTTTAAAAGGTGAGTAAACCCAGATGGAAATAGAAGACTGTACCTGTTGGGTTATGTCTGATGAGGAAGAGGAAAGGTCTGTCCACTGTAACCCAAGGTGGGGAGGACCGAGCCAGCAAAATGGCAGCTAAACACAAAAGCAAACGCATTATAAAAACTATAGGAGCCTACTGAGATGTAGTAATACTTTAAGTACATTATCACCCGTTACATAGAACAGTCTCATCAACTAAGCATACAGCTTTGTGCTTGGCTTAACAAGTCAAAGGCCAGGCTCACTGTGCAAATACTCACTAGTGGCAGCTGCTGCTTTTGTTCCATCTTCATTCACCACAATTTTGGCTTTCTGGAGTGCCTTGGATACGTGCACCGGCTCAGAACCTGAGAAAACAATAAGCTTTCATTCTAGCTTTAGCACATACAGTGAGTTAGTTTACAGATATGCTACGCCATCATTGCCTTTTATTAACAATCTGACATTAACCAGCCAGGGCTTCACATTCAACATGACGGTTATCATGCAGTTTCTGTGTACATTTTAGTGGAATAATATACTCGCATTATTGAACCAAACTACAATATTCATCCTTAAAGGCCCTACATGCTAATGGTTCACCCACACAGGTGTTTTCACTTGGTTAGCCTGAACAGAGCTCTTCTCAGGACTCTGTGGACAGACTGTCCTTAACTGACTCATCTCCCTCATTCCTCCCAGTGATTTCTATGTGGAACAGGGCGAGACACATACGCTTCCGGTTGCAAATTGTCCTGCCTCTTTCGCTCAATCTTTCAGTTCAATCTGACCGAACTTTGACTTTGGCTCTCCAACATCCAGCTGGTTTGAGAGAGCGAGTCAGACTGACCTCACATTGAGGAAATATTGTTTGTTTATCTTGTTGTTTTACAACTGCATGGTGAAATAATACAAGCAGCAGATAAGAAGAGATGCTGGTTGCTTGTAGTGAGCGAAAGTACAGTGACAGAGGTTAATGTTGGGTTAAACGCTGCTAATTAACAGGATCTGTGAACAGCTGTTGTTAGCGTTCTAGCAATGCTAGCTCCTCAAGTTTATGTTTACAACACTACCCACGCCATGTCCTGTCCCCCATGTCAAAATGTCTTCTGTGAAAAGGACAATGCAAATAATACAGTGCTTTCATCGGACTGCACACAGGATTGCTCTTAGGATGTTTTCACACCTGTAGTTTGGTTAATTTGGTCCAGACCAAGGAAGGAAATGATGCATTGTTGGCTTGATGACACTGACTTGTTACATACAAACATGTGTAAACATGAATTTATAAGGACTGACAGATTACCCACATGCAGTGACTGACAGCAGCTCATGTAGCACTTTACTGAACCTTATGAGCGTATTCATTTTCTCTGCTGTCACAAAGAAATAGCTGATTAAAAGCATTATTAGTCCAGACTGCAACCAGACCTCATATGTAATAAATAATGATGAAACATTAAAAAAAAAACTAACTACAATAATAGTACCGGGGAATAGTTGTAGTGCTGTTGTTTCACACATTTTTTAAAGATCCATAATAAGGAGCTTATACAGCTACTGATGAACTCCTCTCAAAATGTTTAGTATCAGCCTGTTTGATTAATTATTGAGTAAAAGTATAAACCACATGACAGTAGAGCAAAAATCCACATCGGTCAGACAGACCCTGGCTAATAATTTTTTTCTAAAGTAATCCCTATAAATGCCTTTGTTTACACCACAAAGCCACCACACAATTTCACCACATGGTGGCACTAGAGCACTTCAATTAGAGCTCCCAGCAGCCCATCACTTAGGGAGAATGAGGGAAGAAAAGAGAACGTGTTCAGTTTTTCACACAGGGACAGCTAGACTCAAATTCATTCTTCTTACTGGCTCTGGCAGTCCAACAACGCTTTCAAGCCTCTCTCGTAACCAAGTAAGCCTGTTGTAAATACTCTGAGGCACTGCGTCACTTTTGGGTTTGGACTGAATGTGCTTTCACTCACTGAGGTGTCTGAAGTCGGCTTTGCCCTCACTGAAAATGTCTGTTATTCCCAGGGCTGCAAGGGGGTCTTTCAAATCCACCTCCGCATCAGCAGTAAACCTACATACAAAGTGCACACAATGTTACGGTCACATTCGGTCAAAGAAGTTTTAAGAGCAACTGTTGCACGTGTGGGTCTTACTTGGGGATGAGCAGGCGGACTTTTTTCATGTGCATCAGTTTGGTCCAACTCTGCACTGTGGCTGTGCTGATGTGTGGGACAACACGGGACAGAGGTGTGTCCTCTTCAGAGGGCAGAACGATCAGCATGCTGATGGTGTTTCCATGATAGGGCAGCTCTATCACCTTATATTTCAGTCCCTGAGGAGTGGTGGCCATACCTGGCAGGGGAGGAGGGGGTAAGGGTTAATAGTTTCAAAGGTCGGGGTGATGGTATGGATGAAACGTGAGTCACCTTACTGATATAGAGGTGACTCATCTCTTTTCTCCCTAGATCTTTCTTGTATCTACTGAAGCTTTTGACATGCATGGCTGACTAGGAACAAAGACACTTCCTGTGCTTTGTGTACATCTGACTAAAGAAAATCCTTAGTGCTTTCACCTTAAAAGGGTTTTCTATCCACAAATGTGTGAAAGTGGTCTATACTTCTCTTGTTTTTGAGAGACTGCACAAGCCATATTTCAACTTCCTTGTGATAGAACAAGAATGGAATTAAAATGACCATTTTCCCTAATATACATGTGTAAATGTAGGTAT